AAGGTTGCGGGTTCGAGTCTCGTACCGGCAGGGATTGTAGGTGGGGGGAGTGACTGTACAGCGCTCTCTCCCACCTTCAGTACCACGACTGAGGTGCCCTTGAGCAAGGCACTAAACCCCCAACTGCTCCCTGGGCACCGCAGCAAAAAATTTAATAGTTTTAATCCGGGTGTGTGTCCACGGTGTGTGTGTGTTCACTGCTGTGTGTGTGTGCACTTTGGATGGGATAAATGCAGAGCACTAATTCCGAGTATGGGTCACCATACTTGGCCACATGTGACGTCACTTTCACTTTTTCACTTTCAGTAACAAAACTGGAAAAAGACTGAAATGTAATATTATAAACTCAACTGCACCTCCCCCATTATGGTCACAACTGAAAAGAGAATCATGGGTCAAAGCACAAAAAAAGAGCATTTATTTTCTTTTGTTTCTTTTTTCTTTTTCATGCTAAACTGTAGATACTGTAAAACCTCAATTGTAACATGAGGAAGTTTGTGCTTCTTCATTAGACAGCTATCATATGACCAGCTCCTACAATCTCTGAAATTTGTCTCAAACAGCAAAATTGTGACAAAAATCGCACTATGTGCACCCGACTTTAGACCCCACCTACAAACTGACATTTGGAGCCACGGTGGGCTGCTTGTCAAACTCGATCTCTCTGCTGGAAAAGCCTTTGTCTAAGACTCATTAGTCTGCTTGTCTGACATTTCAAGAATGTCAAATGTAACTCAGGGATCACACTGACATCCAGTAGATTTGCTCAGTGATTCTTTTGTAACGGTGGATTTTCTGCAGTATGTGTAGAGACATGCCAAGCTGCGAGAAATGATGCCATTCACTTCCAAAAGAAATAATCTACGCTTTATTAATATACTGTAAGGTAATTTAATATTGTGCTTGTGCTGTACCCATCTGCTAATATACAAAGACACAGTCTTGCAGCAGTTCAGAGAGATAATGAATGTTGTTTAATATCCCTCGTGCTGATCTACTACGCTTCTGTCACTGTACAGTACCTTATAATACTCAGTATTATGGCAGTATTGCTTGTATTTCAATTATATGAAGCTGAATTGTCTTAGTAACCACAAAAATTGTCAACAAATGAACTAGGGCTATTTTTTCATCATTGATTTTATCATTTTCATTAAACTGAAACTGCAAAACTTCCTTGTGTTGTTAGAACTGAGGTTTTATTATTCTAGAGATCAGCATAAGAAAAAACACAATGGCCACCAATCCTCCTTTAATTTGGCTGTGATGATGGTGGAGGAGTTTATAATAAATGTTGAGTTGTGCCATTATTGTTAACTAGTTAACTATTCATTTAAAAACATTAAAATGTACACTTAAAAAGTGCTACAGTTACCAACATTGAAAAACACTGAAATTTTAATAGAAATATGAAAAACTACACTTAATATAAATGACAAAGGCACATAACAAAATTATTAACATTTGCAAAAAATGTAAGGGAAAATTTGAAATATAATACTAAAATAACACAAAGCTCACCTCACACAAAGCTATCATATGATTTTTAATGTCAGTTTGTAGCTTGATGATGGTCCGGATACTTTACTTTTTACTTTTTTTTTTACTTTTAGTCATTTAGCAGACGCTTTTATCCAAAGCGACTTACAAATAAGAAAAAGTAATTAAAACGAAAAGCTAAAAGCTTTTAAGAAAATAAAAGAAATTAAATAAAAATGACAAATGCATTTCAAAACTAAAACATTTAAATGAAAACAAAAAAATAAAGCTAAAAACAATTCAAAAATATTAAAAGAACAAAAGGTATGGGTATAATAATGATTCTAACATAACACTAAGCCAAACACCAAAGAACAACTACATATGGGTGTGTACAGCCACACACATATACATATACATGTACATATATATAAATACATTCAATATATATATATTATTTCATTTCCATTTTGTATGTTGAAGTACTGAAATAACTCAAATTAAATAAAACTAAAACTTAATAAAAAGCCTATATAGACATAATAAAAAACTCATAAAATGACAACATTACTACAACTGTAACTAAAACTAAAATAGATAACTGGGACATTCGGATACTCTTTTGTTTTTGTGCTTGTGTTCCAAGTAAGAAAGAAAGCCATACATAAATATGGAGCAACATAAATATGAGTAAAAAATAACAAAATCGTAATTTTTTTGGTGAACTATCCCTTTTATAATAACTATTCCACTTTAAATAAGCACGGCCAGTATTTAGTGTGAGACAATTATATGCCAGCAAAACAATGACTCATTGACTATTTCACCCATTCTGCTCAGACTGACCGGATAAACACAGTGAGGGAGGGTGTGATATACATACCCAGTCTTCAAGCTGACCAGCGCATCGTTCACCCCGGACTGATGGTACTTCACCATGTACTGGTGCATGTCGGGGTAATTCTTACGAATGTTCCTCTCTGTGCTGCCGTTAGGAACCGTTCCAAAGCGGAAAGGAGGGGAGTAGGAGTAGGGACTCTGAAACTGCAAAGTTAAAAAACAAAATAAATGACCAATAAAAGCACAACAGGAAATAAAACGCTTCCATGGCTATAAATACAGACAATAAAAAACTTGAACATTGAGTTTTATCACTCACACTCTTAAAATGACTGCTTCTAATAAGAACCAAAAGTGTTTTACAACCCAAATCTTTTGATTTTACAAAGAACTTTTTCATTGCCTATAGTGCTTTGGATAAGTTACGTACAGGAACCAATTTTAAATCTCTAAAAAAGACAACTTAACAATCCTCTAGTTTTTCACATTTAATATTGTGAAACATCTTTAGTTCATTGTACACTAAATGGAGTATTAAAGTAATGTTTGAGAGGAGTTTGTTAATCTAATCCTGCCAATCATAATGCAAGTATTTATGTACAGCTGCTTGCTTTCGAAAATTCCAGTTGTTTATTAGCATCTTTGCTTCCACAAAGAACCTTTAACTTCCATGGAACCTTTCCATTGCACAAAGAGGTTCTTTATAGTTGGAAAAGGTTCTTTAGATTGTTAAAAAGATTTTTACACTAAGAAAAAAAATGGTTCTTTTAAGAACTGTTCACTGAAAGGTTCTTTGGGAAACACAAAATGCTTCTATGGCATCGCTACGAAACCCCCCATTTGGAATCTATATTTTATAGAGTGTACTGTGACAATTCTCTTGGCATCATTTTGATTAAATTTATCACAAACGTCATTAATAAGTAGTCCAGGTGGGTATTTAGGGCTGGAATAAGTTAATATTAATCTAAGTTAATATGTGCTTGATAAGGGCCTAACATCACAGAACTAAGCCCGGCAGCTTTGCTTAAGAATCTCTTTTCATCTTTTCTTTAGACTCCATTCTGCATCACTCATATAACCAATGTGCCATTGAAAAGAAGCACTTTGCCAGTAGACTAGACATGTTTTTGAATGTGTTTGTGTGTTGACTATTTGACCAGAGTTGTGGCTCTGCAATGAGTGCAGGCCTGGGGCTTCATCTTAAGCTATTTCCTCTTGCTCTTCATATCTTCTTTTTCCTCAAGCCCATATAATACATGAATTCAACTCTCCTTTCGACTTCTGTTTCATAGAACGGACATTGCCTGTCTTATTATACCATTTATTCTCTATTACATGCCAAACAATGCCCTTTTTGTATGGAACAAGTAGCTGAGGAGCTCTTCTCGAGCCAGTCTACACCTGCTGCTCTCTTGCCAATGCACACTTTCAAGGTGCTTGACTCAGTATGGTTATTTCTTTTCACTGGGCAGCCATATTTCAAGTATTTCAACACTTAAATAACAGTCCCTGAATAGATGAAAAAAAGTATATTTTGGGGAATCAGGAAAAATACACATTCATACATATACTCTTATCTGGACTTGTACAGAAGCACAATTCTCTGTATTCTGAGGATGAAATTGTGCATCACAACACTCTACACCAGTGAGGCTGGCCCGCCAGCAATAATATCTGTCCCGCGCCCGCAGCCAGATTATTTTGATAGCGGCTGGTTCTGAAATAGATCTGTCATGACAGCAACAGTTACTCACAATCAGAGTATGTGAGCGGAGCGGTGTGATTTTGAATGGAGCGAGGAGCGGATTTTTTAAAAGTCGGAGCATCGTGGTTTTCACTCGCTCCAAGAGCGCTCCACCACCACTCCATCACGAGTACAATTCATGCCAACAGCCCGTAATATAACTGCGTATGGGGAAGT